CAGTCAGGGTGGACTCTCCATCACGTTCCCCGCACCCAAACCTCCTTCCACTGCAGCTGGACCGGCCCTTGTGGAAAGCAGAGCTGACTGCAGCCTCGCCTCTCCCCCAGCGAGGTGCACTCTCCCCACACCTGTTCCCACCACAGGAGATGTTGTCTCAGTCCCTGGGCCTTAGCTCATGCTGTTGGGAGTGTCCCCACCCCGCCTGCTTACCCTTCTTTCCCCACAGGCCCAACGGCGCTCTGGAATCCTGCTCCTTTGCCCGCCACAATCTACTGCAGACGCTGTACAAAGTCTAGATGCAAGGTGGGCCTCTCCCCATCCCTCGGCCTGGACCAGTGACTTGGGAAGAGACTCAAATGGAGGACTCTGGCCAGAAGCACGGGGATCTCTGTCGTGTGTCGTGTCTTCTGAGTACGTGTGTTGGCGTGGTGTGTGTGCGGATGTGTGCTTCTTGTCAGGGTTTGAGTTTTCAATGTCTCCCTGCTGGACTGGCCTTGGTCCTGCTGGAGGGGAGCCGGCCCCCAGGTGGAAGGGCTGCAGGCTGCTCTGCCATTAAACTCACCACCATCTGAGGACACTCCGCTGATCTGCGTGCAGGCTCCAGGCCCTGACGGCTGTCCCCACCCACCCTGTCATCTTTACTCTCTGGGGCTGTACCAAAGCTGGGGAGTTGCTGTCTGCGCTGTCCCACCCGCTCCCACCCCACGCTGTGGCTGGGTGTACTCATGCCCTGCCTGGGGCTGCTCACTCTATGGCTGCCTCTGCTTCCTGTCACCAAGCCCTGGTCCTGCAGCCACCACTGCCCTACCGTCCATCCCTGCTGTGCTGACCCCTCAGCCTGAGGGGCAGAGACTGCAGTGGGTGGGGTTGTGGGGTGGTCAGCAGAGGGCAGGACCCTGGCACCCACACTGTGGACAGGAGGAGAAGCCAGGGGGCAGACACTAGGGTCTAGGAGCTGGAGTTGCCTGGATGGTGCTGGCTCCACACCCAGTGGGCCCTCCCCTGGCTGCTAAGATGTTTGTGACCTGCCTGGGGGCCAAGCTGGAGGGGCATCTGGGCAGGCCCAAACCTGTTCTCTAGCCCAGGGGGCAGAGGCAGGGCCCACAGATGCCTGAGCTGCATTTCGGGCACCCCTAGGGACCTGGGGCAGGGCGGGGCGGGGCTGCACTGGAGATGCCCCGTGACACCCTCTGCTTTCCCCTTGTGCTCTTTATGTGTCTGGGCTGTGCCCAAGGCTTCACAAATAAAGTCACGTGTAGCAACAGTGGAGACTGAGTAACTTTTTGCCTAAAGCAAGCCATTCTCAAGGCCTTAGTACCTGTAGTTCCCCCTCCGTGTGGGCACTGTGACCCTGTCTTCGTTTGTAAGAGATGGTCCATCTTGCAGAGAAGCTGCTGTCCCAACCTTGTGTCATCACCTGGGGCAGCCCGACACTTCCTCTGTCGCAGGCCTGCCAGCTCGGCTCTGACAGCTGGGTGGGGGGGTGCCTGGAAGGGGTGGCAACTTACAGGGGTCCGTCCGGGAGGGTGCAGGGCCTCCCTTGGGGTCCCTCCTGTTGCCACAATGGTGTGAGGACAGCCTGGCAGACTCTTTGCCGCCTACCCTAGATAGCAGGTGCAGGAATGAAGAGGTCCCTCTGAGGTTTCTTAGGGGGCTGGGTGTCTTACTGGCTGTGGACCACTCAGGCAGCATCTTTCTCAGCCAGGTGGCAGAAGTGATGCCCGCGCCTTGCTCTCCTCCCCTCCGCCCCATATCCAGGTGCTATGCAGGAGGCAGGTGGAGGTCCAACTCCAAGACCCCCAACTTCATGCCAGGCCCTGTTTTGAGCTCTGGGGCCACGAGTGCAGCCTTTGGGGAGCTCCCAGTCTGATACAGGAGGCCAACAACTGTGGCCCAGATGGTGGGCAGTAGGGTCAGAGAAGCCTTCTCAAGAGTTAAGAGGTGTAAGAGCTGAGTCGAGTTCAAATAAGACTTCACATGTGGTATTTGACAGATGGAGAAACCGGCTCGGAACTGAATGGGGACCTGTCCGAGGTTCTCTGGCCCGGGTGTTCCTTCCCTCCAGGCCACCCAGGCTGGCCCTTGTACCTTCCTCGCTCCTGCGTGTCCAAGCTTCAGCTCATACTGAGAGGAGAACCACAGATCTCGATTAATTAACCAACACGCCTCCAGCCCACACACTGAGGAGGATCCTGTTGGTCCTGGAGTGAGGCTTCTGCCTACCCCTCTCCTGCTCAGTCCTTCAGACCAGCTCCAGGTGCAGGGAAGGGCCTGGGGGCCTCTACTTGCTGCTTACTGAGAGCAGCCTTTGGGACTCCCCCCGCCCGACTCAAACACCCCCAAGGATTTCAGCCAACCTTAGGATCACACAGGCTCCGAGTCCCTGAGCACAGCGACTTGGGGCCTGCTGTGACCCCCTAGGTGCGGAGAGCCTGCTTGGCACCAGGCCACCCACTGAAGGGAGCTCAGCTGCGGGCCAGGAGCTAACAAACCATCAGTTCTCTTCTGAAGCTTGGACTAAAAACCCCCAGGAAGCTTGGCTGAGGGGGCTCCTAGCAGCACTGTTGTGACAGCGAGAACTTAGAAGCAACTCACAGGCCAGCTCAAGAAAGCGGATTAGGAGCAGAGCTGCACGATGTGACATTACGACAGTGAAAATGCATCAGCTACGCCAAGGGCACACCACATACACAGCAGACGGATCAATAGCAACGCTGAGCAAAGAAAATTGCAGTCCATCGTTAGTTCAGCAAGGAGACTGAACGGTGTGTGGGCACATGCATGTGGGTGATGAACCCAGCTCAGAGGGCAGGGGACAGGACAAGGTGGAAGCAGTTACACCACAGTCATGCACCAAGATTCACAGTGACCCAAATCCAGCTGCCTGAGAGCCATATTTTTAAAAGAAAAATAAAACAGGAGAGCATTTTTTGGACATACGAAAAGCACAAGTCGTAAGAAAATTTGCCTGTGTCAAAAAGTGAAAAACTGACCGAAGATACCACAAAAGTTAATAGACATGGTGACAGGGTAGAAACAGACACTGCAACACAGATAACAAAGGATCAGCGTCGAGAATACACATCCAGTTGAAAACTGGACAAAGGACAAGAATAAGCAATTCACAGGACTGTGAATGTACTTAATGCCACTGAATTGTGCACTTAAACACGGTTAAAACTATCAAGTTTATGTGAATGCATAATTTACCATAATTCAAAAAATCCTGACAGTAAAAGATAAAACTACAGATACTTTAGGAGACAGAGTATCTTCAAGACCTTGGGAGTAAGGAGAAGATGAACACATTAAGCTATGTTTAACATCCTTGGTTTGCTATTACAATGGGTTATTCATATGATGTACACTAGGCAGCAATAAGTAGCTTCTGTTTCTCAAAAGACATCATTAAGGGAGTGAAAAGGCAAGTCATAGAGATGGAGAAAATAATTGCAATATATATTTTAAATAACTCATATTCAGAATACCAGAAACAACTCAATAGAAAAGTGAGCAAAAGGCTTGAACGGGCACATCACAAAAAGCATGAAAAGGTACTTAATTCCACTAGTCTTCAGAGAAACATATTAAAATCACAATGTGGTTTTACTCTCACAGGAATGGCTAAAATACAAAAGATGATCCCACACACTGGAGAGGATGTGGAGCTGGTCAACACGGTCATTGGTGCAACCACTTTGAGAGACTGTTTGGCAGTGACCACTGACACTGAAAATAATCACATCCTAAGACCAGCAACTCCACCCCGGGTAGATCGCTGCCAAAACGGGTTGTGATGTGTCCACCAAGACACGTGCAAATGTGGTCAACAGCTCCCTTCATAACAGCTCCACCTGGGAAACAACCCAAATGCCCATCAAGAGTGGGATGGACAATTAATTGTGGTACAGTGAGGCACCAAGAAGGTGGGAATGGTCTGCCCAAACAGGGAGGAATATTTTAGCATTGACATTGTTTCAAATTGCCAGCACAGGATGATAATAAAAAGCATCCTAACTCCAGCTCAGTTCCATTATATTTAAATTTCCTACCGACTGCATCTCTTTATTACCTGCATCTGGGACAGATCACCCTCCTGCCTCTGTCCCACCCCGCTGTTGCGTAATATTTATAGAATGGAATGCTATAGAAAAAAAGTGAACAAATTTTTAAAATATGCATTGCAGATAAGTGTCACAAACACAACACTGACTAAAAACAGCCAGACAACTTGTGGTGTAACACTATCATGTTAAAAAAAAAACAAAAACTGAGTAATGAAAGCTGCATTTCCACCAGAAACACAGATCTGAAATACCACAGGATCTGAAAAACCATAGGATACATAAATGTTTGCGGTGATCAAGATGAACTATTTCATTTTTTTTAAAAGAATGCACATCTCCAAGAAGGTAAGTACTTACCTGTCCTTTGCAACATTGTTATACAAAACTGGAGGCAGTGGAAATATCTGGGATGAATGGATAAGTTGATATATTTATACAGTGGAATACTATACAAGTCAAAATCAATGAGTGTAACTAAGAATCGACTTAGCTCCCAACAATCTGATGTTGAGTGAAAAGACAAATATGCAAAATATTGTATGTACAGTGTTAAATAAGGTATGTGAGTGTATTATAAGTATAAACAGGGCAGAGTTAACCGTTCTTCAGGGTCTACTATGTGCCAGGTGCCTACCTTAACTCCCACCACAACCCTATGAGCCAGTTACTATGCTTTTTTGGAGTAGGAAACTGACCCAGCCCGGCCCAGAGTCCTACAGCCTGGAGGAAGCCTAGGTCTGGGAGCCACTGGCCGGCGCCCTGAGGCTCCTCCCTACTGGGCTGGTCTGGGGATTCCGGTCCAGGCCTGGGCCAGGATTCTGAGCAGGAGGCCCTGTAACTCCAGCCGCTGCTCCCGCCATGCCCGCCCCTCCCTCACCTCCGCCTCAGGCTGGGCTGCCCACAATGCCTCTCATTCAGCCCTGTCCTCGCTGCCAGGCCTGTGGGCCAGGAGGGGGGCTCCTGCTGGCGTCCAGGCAGGGACTGTCGCTGGCCTTTCCCTACGCTGTGTCTCCAGGCTGGACTGGCCCTGAACGGCATGGCGGGGTGAGTCTTTGGGCCCTGAGGTTGCGAGGTGGGTGAGAGGAGGCGAGCGGCTGCAGACAAGCCCCTGCCCCTCTCTGGGCCTCTCAGGGGCTGGGGGCCAGGGGCTGTGGGATCTGCCTGGGCAGAGATTCTCCGAGGGTCTCCCCAGAAGTGGGCTCTGCAGAATATGATGAATGTGGCTGCTCCCTGGGGCTCCCCTGGGCTCGTCCTCCAGGAGCTGTTCTGAGAGCCTGGCAGCCCTCTAAGGTCTGGATGCTTGTCCCTTCAGGGATCTGTCCCCATGGGCCCCCCTCTCTGGCCTGCCCTGAGCCTCAGCCTCACTACAGACTCTGGAGGATGCCACCGACCCCAAGGAGACTGAAAAAAAGATGGTGACAATCCAAAGAGAGGAAATAGGGGAGGCCCAGGGTGGGAGCCAGCCCAGGGATCAGGAAGAGCTGCTTAGAGGCCCTGCCATGAGCTGAGGACAGAGGCAAGAGCTAGATGTCACAGACAGAGAGGATGAGGCTCTGTTCTGTGCTTCTGGTGGGGGAGCCAAGGGTGACACTGAAGGATTTGAGCAGATTCCAGCGGAATCGGGAGTCAGGACTTTAAAGCAAAAGCAATGAAAAGATGCTGGAGGGTCTTCAGCTGGGGGTGGCAGGGCCTGTCTGTATTTTGGAGAGTTCTCTTTGGTTGCTGGTGGTGAGCGGAATGCTTGGGAAGCCAGGAGTGCCACCGTGGTGGAGTTGTCCCTAAGCAGAAGCAGGCAGTAGCTATGAGATGAAAGGTCCAGAAGGGTCCAGGTGGATGGGGAGCGGGTGGAGGTGGGTGGACAGACAGGTAAGTAGACAGATCCTGCCCAAAGCACAGCACCCAGCCCATACACTCAGTTCCCCCCACCCTAGTCCAGGCCAGCTGGGTGGCACTAAGATGAAGAGAAGACAATAGGGGAATAAACAAGAGAAGGCAGAGCGACCTGCTCACCTGTCAGTGTGGCTCTGGACCAACCATTAAGGCTCCTCAAGGCTCTCTGATCCCAGGATACCTGGTCCCCCAAGTCTTGCCTCACAACTCAGGGCGAGCCCGGTCCTTCCCATGGCTCCCAGGCTGTCTTCTCGAGGTGGCTACCATTATGTTCCTGCCACGTGGTGCTGATGCCACATCTGTCTGAGGACAGACTGCTCCTCTCTCCACCACCAACCTCACCCTGGAAGGTCAGGCCTCCCCCAAGGAGCCTCTCCACAGCCTGGGCACACCTCTGAACCACATGTAGCAAGGGCTTGCTGAGCCACTAGGCAGACAATCAGGGGACCCGCGAGGCTGCCTGTCTGAGCCTGTTTCCTCTGGTGTCAAACAGGGCTAACATGGAACCTCTGCTTCGTGGAGGGGCTGGAGGCTCAGGGTAGTAACTTCCCTGAGGCCAAAGGAGGAAAACATCTGAGGGGCTCTAGGAACAAGAGCTGGTGCCCAGCGAATGGACAGCTTGGGACCCTTGCCCTTAGAACAACTGACCCTCGCTCTCTCTCTCAGGCCCCAAAGTGTCTCCTTGGTGCTGCTGCTTCCTCTGCTGCTGCCGCTGGGGCCAACCTGGCATGCAGCTGCCCAACGCTGCCCGCAGACCTGCGTCTGCGACAATTCCAGGCGGCATGTTGCCTGCCGGCACCAGAACCTCACCGAGGTGCCGGATGCTATCCCTGAGGTCAGCAGGGCAAGGTTTGGTGGGGAGGACAGCACAAGGAGCCTGGGCTGGCACCAGTGGACCTGCCACTGCCTGCCTGGGAGGCCCCGGCAAGTCACTTCTCTCTGAGCCTCAGTCTTAACGTCTATAAAACTGGAATAATAATGACAAACAACAGGAAAACAATCTATTTAAAATCCTATGTGATTGGAAAAAGTTAGGTGATCCATATACATACTGAATTAATTACAGGTCCTGTGGCAGAGAACTGGGGATGTACTGGAATAAGATATGCTTTCTGTCCTATGAAGTCAAGAGCTAGAGAGGAAGAGAAAGTAAATGAGCAATGACAATTCACTGTGAGAAGTGCCAGAGTGGGGGATACCCAAGGGGCTGGAGAGGAAGGCTTCCCGGAGGAGGTGTCAGGGAGCAGGATGAAGAGAATGAGGGAAAGATGAAGGGGAGGAGAGTGTTCCAGGTGAAGGAACAGCAAGCACAGAGGCCAGGGTTAGCAAGGGGCACAGGTCGTGGTCTTGTGCTGCTCAGCCTCCTCTACCTCTCCCCGCTCAGCTGACCCAGAGGTTGGACCTCCAGGGCAACATGCTGAAGGTGATCCCGCCAGCTGCCTTCCAGAACCTGCCTTACCTGACACATCTGGACCTGCGGCACTGCCAGGTGGAGCTGGTCGCCGAGGGTGCCTTCCGTGGCCTGGGCCGCCTGCTCCTCCTCAACTTGGCCTCCAACCACGTGAGCGCGCTGCCCCAGGAGGCGCTGGATGGGTTGGGCTCGCTGCAGCGACTGGAGCTGGAGAGCAACATGCTGGAGGAGCTGCGGCCGGGCACGTTTGGGGCGCTGGGCGCGCTGGCCACGCTGAACCTGGCCCACAACGCTCTCGTCTACCTGCCCTCCATGGCCTTCCAGGGCCTGGTGCGCATGCGTTGGCTGCAGCTATCCCACAACGCG